TATGCAGTAAGATACCGCACAGCTACTAAAATACCGCATGAGTTATATTATTAAGTCATGCGGTAATTTAGTAGTGACAACATTCTTTAATGTTTCAGCTGTCAGTGGGGTTCCCAGCTGTCAGCAGAATGTATAAAGAAGTGCTGGCATTGTGCGGCAATTAAAAAATTTAAAATGAGTGGGGTCCCCCCTCCCATCCATAGCAAGTCCTTTGGGTCTGGTATGGATTTTGAGCGGAAACTTCGACGCCAAAAAAAAAAAAAAATGGTGTAGGGGACCCCCAAAAGACCATTGTCTAAGCATGCAGCCCTGTAGGTCAGAAAGGGGGGGGGGACGAGTGAGCGCCCCCCCATCATGAACCATACCAGCCTACATGCCCTTAACATGGGGGGGTGCTTTGGGGCAGGGGGGCTCCCCCAAAGCACCTTGTCCCCATGTTGATGGAGAAAAGGGCCTCTTCCCCACAACCGTGGCTGGTGATTTTGGGGGTCTGCGGGCGGGGGGGCTTTTTGGAATCTGGAAGCCCCCTTTAACAAGGGTGCCCCCAGATCCCACCCCCCATGTGAATAAGCATGGGGTACATGGTACCGCTACCATTCACAAAAAAAAGTGTAGTGTAAAAATGACAAAAGACAGTCTTTGACAAGTCCTTTATTAAAAACAAAAATAAAAAAATGTCCCTCAAAGTAGATCCAACGTCAATCATGATGCCCACTGCCACTGCCAACCCGAAAAAAAAAAAAGTGATCTGCTCTCTACGCTGGCTCTTGCTGCCTGAGAGCTGTGTCGTGATGACAGCTCTTGAATAGTGTTATGATGTCACAGGGTGGTGGGGTCACCCCCTGCCCCTTGTGATGTCATTATGCGCAAAGATTGGCCCAAGCATTGTACCTGTTCTGTGGTCAGGGCGCAGTGCATTATGGGGCGCAGTGGCCGAAATGCCCTTACTGTTTATGTGTTTGACAAACACACGAACGGCCCATGTTTGAGTCGAACTTAAAGCCCAACACTAATCTTGAAATGAAATAAAACATTTTTGCCCAAGTTGGGCTTTAAAACTAAATGTTAAAAAAATAATTGCTAAGTTTTTCTGTAGTAGAGAGACTATTCAGTCAGTTCAATGGGACCAGACACATTTTGACCCATTTATGGCCTTTCCTGCTTTCTGACAAACAGTAATGTTGAAAAACTTCCACTTAGCCAATCAGCTGCAGCGCTGATCAGTGTATTCTGTTAGTGGAATCCCTATGGTCGGAATTCAGTAGCACAGCGGGGGGAGTCCTCCATCTACCTCACTTGTATGAAAGGGGGAATCCATTTATTTTTTTTCGATCACCCAATTTTTTTTTTTTCTCCTATCAATACTTTTTGATGTGCGCACTGCAACATGAATAGGCCAAACTACATAATGTGCTCAGAGTAGAAACTACACAGCAAACATGTAATGGGCCTTCAGTCTACACTAGTAGTGTACACTCTAGCTACAGAATATATAATATAATGCATCAGATTCATAGGTGTGAGTCAAATGTAAGTGCATACCTTTAGGGCCGTAATTAGTATCTTATGCAGAGTAAAGGCTACACCCAGCATTTTAAAATATTTTATAGATCACCACACTCAACAAGAATAAAATCAGTACAAATGAAATGATTGTCCCTGCCAATCTGCTGAAGATTTGGCCTGTTATATGAAGACATAACAATGGAAAAGTCATTGAGAAGGACAGGAATGTTTACTACACCTGGTGTGTCTCAGTATTAGAACTTAGTTAGCAATGGCACTCCCTCCTTGCTTCAGTACATTTTACATAACAATGATAGCCACCTCTGAGGCTATAAAACTGCCACATTGCTCAGCTGCAAGCCCATTTTTATAGAACGGTATTTGAGCAATGTCCATCACTGAGCTTCTTATAAAAATAGGTCGTAAAGTTAAAAGATCTTTTTTTAAAATAACAAACGTAATAGTTACCTGCTCTGTGCAATGATTTTGCACAGAGCTGCCCTGTTCCTCTTCTCAGGTTCCCCTGCTGGTGTTCTTGGCTTTTCCTCTTTCCTGAATGCCACCATGGGAAGCAGCTTCCTATGGGGGCACACGTGCGAGTTTGATCCCCACTGCATCTACTGACACACATAGTACATCTTGGCCCCACCCCTGCTCCCTCCATACTGGATTTATTTAACAGTAGCAGGAGCCAGTGGCTCCCGCTGTTTCCTCCATGTACAGAGTGGAGAGAAAGAGAGAGCAGTGCTGCTGCTCTCCAGCACAGCACTGGATCAAGAGCAGGTTCAGGTAAGGATTAATGGGGGATGGGGGGGTAGCTGACAATAAAAGGTGTTTGCCTTAAAGCAGAGAATACATTAAAGCGGAGTTCCACCTGAAAAAAAAAATAAAAGTCAGCAGCTACAAAAACTGTAGCTGCTGACTTTTAAAATACAGCCACCTACCTGTCCCTTGGTCCAGCGGTGTCCTCACCACCACTGTTGGTTTCACCCGCCATCTTCTCTCCCTGGTGTCGGCATCTTCAGTGTAGGCACCCAGCTGTGATAGCTTGCGGCTTCACAGCTGGGTGCCCACTGCGCATGCACGAGAAGCACTGCTCTTTGTGAATGGCCCCGTAGTCTTCTGGGACCTGTCACGTGTCCCAGAAGACTATGGGGAGGGAGGACAACCTCCGCTTCCGATCACCTAGGCGATTGCAGCGGAAGTGGGAGTGGGTACCTGTCAAATTCAGGTACCCGCTCCCCAAAGGTGCCAATCCTTAAAGGGGAGCAGGGGGCAAAGGCTTAAAGCGGAACTTCCCCTTTTGGGTTGAGCTCCGCTTTAAGGTAAAACTCTTCTGCCTTTATAACCACTTCAAAGCAGGTCTAATATCTAAAACCTTTATTTCATTCTAAATAATTTTGCAGTCCTTTGTTCCAAAATTGTAATTTTAGTTTCATTTTAAACAAGAAAAATGATCAAAAGTCAGCCCTTCTTCCTTTTTTTCTTTAAGCTATTATCTTCCTGCTTGTTTTTTTTATCTCTATTTTTTTTCTTTTTTTCAATTTTATTTGATTTGTCCCTTATTTTTTGTCACATTTCTAAATAACTTTCCAGTGCTTTGTACCAGAATCAAAATAACAATTATACTCTTTTTATCTACAGTAACATTATTTTTTCAAACTGAAAAAATAAGAAACAAACCATGTTTTTAGTTTTGTTACATTGTTTTTCTATAGATTACATAAAACATAAAATATTCTGCCTTTACATCCTTTTCAAAGCAGGTCTAACATGTAAGAAAAACAACTGACAAGCCCAATGGGTGGTACCACAACATAATAAAAAATGTAGATATGCTAAATAAGATAGGCGCTTGCTAAATTCCTAATAATACATCAAAAATACATAAATACACACGCAGTATATGCAGAGTAGAAAAAAAAAAGAGAAATAAAATTAAAATAAAAGTCCGGCAGAGTGTGTAACCCAAGGCTACACAATGATGTAAGTCCTTCAATGGATGTGGGATCAAACCAATCTCTGGAACTGTTCACCATTTGTGTCCAAAAAAAAAAAAGTGAATACTCACCAAAGGGATTTGACCCCTTTTTACAGGTAGGTCAAATAGCGCATGATCTCCCAAGGGTGCTTTAGGTCAAGGAGTGGATTCCATGTGCTTTTTCAAATGATCAGCTTAATATGGCATACTGAGCAATGAAGCAGGGAACATCCATTAAAAGCATTTAAGTGTAGTATTTATTTAAGGTATTGCACATAAAAAAGTTAAAAAAATTACTCACATTACAGGGTGCATATATTACCGACACCAGGGTATACAGCCTATATTGGATGTTAGTCACTGCACTGCCTCCATTGGACGGCGTGCGCTACAAGCCTCTGTTCCGTCATCAGGACGTGACATCCATCCATGAAGTGGTGAACAATTGGGGAGATTGGTTTGATCCCACATCCATTACTTACATCATTGTCTGGTGTTGGGTTACATACTGACTTTTGTTTTTATTTTATTTCTCATTTTTATGTTTTCTACTCTGCCCAAATTTGTATTTATGTGTTTTTGATGTATTATTAGGAATGTATCAAGCATCTATCTTTATTTAGCATATTGTATCACTAGTGTTTCACACTTAAAGGGGCAGCTGCATAATTTGGAATCTGCATTTATTTTGTTTACACTTGTATATCTGTTTTTTTGCAGTGGATAGGTGGCACTGTATTGGTAACATAACTTTTACAATAAAAAATGCAATAGATTGTGTAAAAAAGCTGCATTGTTAAAGTTGACTTTTCACTAAATACAATATCCACGTAATGCATACCCCTCATCCCCCCAAACAAAACCACAATTAAAAAAACTTTTTTAAAAGGTAAGCATTAGTAAAATTAGAAAAAAAAAACATTACACGCAAAGTTTCAATGGGTTTGCTTAGGCACTCAGTTTTCATTCTTTGGAAAGCCAAAAATCCTGCAAGAATGGACGAGTGCCTTGCCCTCGCTAGATTTGGGATGTTCAGCTTTCATGGGCTTGCTTAGGCACTCACCTTTCCTTCCTTGGAAACCCAAAAATACTGCAAGAATGCGATATTTGCCTTCTCACTAAATTTGGGATGTTCAGCATTCCTGTGACATCATGCGCACTGGAAACTGGTTGTACGATATTTTTCCATTTTTTCCCCAAAGTGTTACTGTTTTTCTAACGTTCTAAATTGCACATTCTAATTTAAGTTGTAGCAACCAGACATGTAAAAAAAATGTTTTTTAATAAAATGTGTTTTTATTAAACCCCTTATTAACCCTTAGTTTGTTCTTATCAACACTAGTTAACTCCTTCTTCCCGTAGCTACTATTTTCCTGCAGAATTTTTGTTTTGTTTCAGTTTTTTAACTATATATGTTTAAACTTTTTTCCTTGTTTTGTTCCTTAACCACCTTCCACCCACCATATAGTACAATGAGGGCGCAAGGTGGTTCTCTCATTCTGACTGGACGTCATATGACATCCTTCCAGTCTCACCGCGCATGCGTGGCTCAGGGAGCATGCAGCGCGGTGATCTCCGGTGTGCTGTGTCCCTCAGCGGATCACAGAAAGAGTTCCAGTCAGTGCCGCCTAACAGTGCCAGTCAGTGCCACCTAACAGTTGCCAAATGGTCAGTGCCGCCTAACAGTGCCATATATCAGTGCCATATATCAGTGTCATGTATCAGTGCTGCCTTTCAGTGCCCATCAGTGATGACTGTCAATGCCCATCATTGCAACCTACCAGTGCCTCCTCATCAGTGCTTTCAGTGCCACCTATCAGTGTCCATCAGTGCAGCCTATCAGTGTCCATCACTGCAGCCTCATTAGCGCACATCAGTGAAGGAGAAAAATCGCTTATTTACAAAATTGTATAACAAAAGCTAAGAAAAAACGTTTTTTTGTTTCAAAATTTTCTAAGTAGTTTTTGGTTTGTTTAAGAAAAAAATAAAAATCCCAGAGGTGATTAATACCACCCTTAAAGAGAGCTCTATCTGTATCCAAAAAATGAAAGTTAATGTCATATGGGTACAGTGTTACATTTTCCGCGCAATTTCATTCAAAGTGTGACAGCGCTGAAAGCTGGAAATTGGCCTGGGCAGGAAGGGGGTATAAGTGCCCAGTAGGCTAGTGGTTAATTAATTAATTTTTTTTGATTATTTATTTGGTTCCTTATATTTTTTTTTTTTTTTTGGTGTAACGATGAAAAAAACTTTATTTAATTTCTAAATAATTTTGCAGTTCTTTGTTCCACAACTGTAATTTTAGTTTCATTTTACAAAAACAGGAAAAATTAACTTTTCCTTTTTTTTCTTTTTTATCATTCATCTGATTTTTTTATTTCTAGATTTTTTCAATGTTATTTGTTTTGTTCCTTCATTTTTGTAACATTTCTAAATAAATTTGCAATGTTTTGTACCAGAATCAAAATAGCATTTATACTTTTTTGTTTTAAACATTTTTTTTATTATTATTATTTTTTAACATAATTTTTTCACAATAACAAAATAAGTAACAAAACTTTTTTTAGTTTTGTTACATTTTTTGTCTATGGATTATATAAAACATAAAATAATTTTGCAAGAAATTATAACCAAAAGTACAACCGAACCTTGTTTGTCCTAAAAAAGAAATATATTACTTTGCTTTTTCAAGTAATGACAAAGTTATTGCCAAAGAAACAGGCCTTTAGGAGAAATGTAAAGTTGCTCTGGTTCCACAATAGTTAAAATCTCACATACGATTTACCATGTTGATGTCATTTCAAAAATTATTTTAGTGTCCTTGTATTGGTAGCTTTCATTAAAATAATAACTGGTGACCCTGCCATAAAGATATTTGTGTGGACACTCTGTGTTATAGGGTGACAATGCTCTGTCTTTGTCTCTTAAATAGTTCTTCTGTGTTGTCACGTCATCATATATGCTCTTGATGGAAACTTTAACCAACTGAGCTGAAACAAAAATAAAGGCATATGTTACAGTTGTCACTATCAGGAATTTCACCCTTAGAAATGCTATGCCACAGGTACTGGAAAACATGCATGTGGACAGGAAAAAACTGCAAAAAGACTGCAGAAGATTAGCAGTACTGAGATGCATTGAAGGATGGAAAAAAGGCTAAAACAGCATTAAAAATGGTTGTTTATTATACACAATTCTTTGGGTTTACATGCACAGGCGCTGCTGGTAAAGTCTCTTTCTGTGATGTTACTCCATCAGAAATTTGTTATTGCCAGCAACGAACAGAAAATAATGCAGTAACTGCTATCTGTTTGCAGAGGATGATGTGTTCCTGGACGATGAAGCCTCAAGACAAGAATATATCATTAATGAACACGGCTTAATGTATCAGGGAGCTAAAGATTTCATTGTTACTATCCCATGGAACTTTGGGCAGGTAAGATGTATTTTTATTACTTTATTTATGTAAGCATTTATGTAGCGCTACCCTCTTGAGGGCCTCTGTGTTGTAGGTACCCCTAAGCTCTGCATAGCCAAGTAACAGGTATTCTTCACAAAGACTTGCATCCAGGAGACGGTAACCAGTCCATGGGTTGGTTTTGTTATTTTATTAGGGGAAATAACTTGGATAAGGAAATAGGGATTATGGGATGCCCAGTTTGGCTTGAATCAATGAAGGGGGGGACAACTTCTTTCCTTTGTACACAAAAAAAAACAGATCCTGGACTGTTCTTTTCCTCTAAAGCCATCGGTTTTTGTGGACCAATAGCAACAGTCCCTTACGGGTGAGGAACTAGCAGCCCCTTAAAAAATCAGCTTAGCGTCTTGAAACTACATGCAGGGATGTCTCCTCACCCACTATAGAACTGCTCCCAGATCCACAGCCTGCATACACCACCAGCCCTCCTGGCTGCTCTGAAGATCTCCCGGGGCAAGGAAAAAGTATGGACCCAATGCTGTCCTTTGAAAGCTTGCTACATGTGGCAGTTTTTCCCCTTGTGGTACCCCAGGACGTGCTGATGTACTCTTTGCTCCCACTGTTTCAGGTCCCCAGGTGATTCCATGTATGTGGCACTGCTGAATGTATCCTGCTGAGCCAGCCCAAGCCCAGCCTGGAGGCTTACACCGCTCCAGAACTAGAGGACCTTTCCCATGCACTGACAGTCTCCTCAGCACTTCTTCCCCCAACTCCCTTGCAGCCTGACCCTCCCAGGGCCTCCAAACCTGGGATTGGCCAGACTCCCATAATTATCTATATTAGGTCACCACCCCTTCCTGCTTACCAACTTCTGGAAGGTTCCATGGTCCTCCAGAGTCAGGAGGAGGCAATAGAACCACAACCTGTTAAGTCATCCAGCTGACCTGCAGTAACCTGACCTCAAATTTATAAAATTTAGAAATGTTAATATTTCCTAAGCAACACCCTAAAGAATTTACCTTCAGGAATTCCTCTTGAGGAATAGCGATGCACTTCTTGGTATGTGAGGGTGCCCAGGCACTCCTGTTCTATAGCCTCATAGCTGTATACAGTATAAGCAGTGTGCGATCTAAGCCACTGCTTCCTCTGACCTCTAGTCTCAGAAGATTTGGAGTGAGATTTGGTGATGTCATTATTGTGTTGCTCACTGTTCTCTTTGTTGGAGGCTCTGACATGAGGACTAAAATCCATTCTCTGGTGGTGGTCAACTTTCTTGATGAGGGGGGGGAGCTCAAGTGAGGCATCTGACATCACCAAAGGGATGCAAATACTATTAAGGACCCATTAACATCTGGCGTTTTGGGATTGTGTGCGGAATTTCAGCGATTTCAAATCACACTGCACCCATAGCAAAACGTGGCATGCATGTTTATGTGCCATTCCTTTTTAATGGCAACTCAAACACGGTGCAGTTTTGCTGTGATTGCTGAAAGCAATCATAGCAAACTGCATCACAAGAATCTTGTCGTCCAAAAGATGCTCCCTGGAAGTTTTTTTTTGAGCAATGCATTTTGGCACGCAATTCTGTCAGACGACAATCGTGGAAAAACTTATCTGCATTTAAGGTGCCATTAAAAATAAATGGTACACAAACGCACATGCTGCATTTTGCCATGATTGCAGTGCGAGCGGCAAAATGCAGAATCGCAGCAATTCCATATGCGATCCCAAATCGCCAGATATGAACGAGGCCTTAGTACATATTCAGTGTAAGAGACAGCAGACATGCAGCAGCATATAGTTTAAGGCTTTAGGCATGATACAAGAGATGGTTAGAGACTGTTGATATAAGACAGTAGATGGCCATAGATTTCAGACATGATACAAGAGATATTCAGAAACTGAAAGCCTGGCACAAGTCATGGTCAGAGATTGCAGACAACATACATGAAATAGTCAGATACTGTAGATATAGTGCAAGAGATGATCATGATACAAAAATGGTCAGAGACTGCGGGAATGATACAAAAGATGGTCAGAGACTGCGGGAATTATACAAAAGATGGTCAGAGACTGCGAATGATACAAAAGATGGTCAGAGACTGCAAGCATGATACAGAATGGTCAGAGACTGAAGCATGATACAGAAGATGGTCAGAGAAAGCATGTCAGAGACTGCGAGCATGATACAGAAAGATGGTCAGAGAATGCAAAAGAGCATGATATACAGAAGATGGTCAGAGACTGCGAGCATGATACAGAAGAGAAGATGGTCAGAGACAGAGACTGCAGGAATGATACAAAAGATGGTCAGAGACTGCATGATACAGAAGATGGGAACTGCAAGCATGATACAAAAGATGGTCAGAGACTGCGGGCATGATACAGAAGATGGTCAGAGACTGCGAGCATGATACAGAAGATGGTCAGAGACTGCAAGCATGATACAGAAGATGGTCAGAGACTGCGGGCATGATACAGAAGATGGTCAGAGACTGCGGGCATGATATAGAAGATGGTCAGGGACTGCAGGCATGATACAGAAGATATGGTCAGAGACTGCGAGCATGATACAGAAGATGGGCAGGGACCTGTTGCAGGAATTGGTCAGAAACTTTGAAGGTGCTAGAGGAGTTGTTGGAGCTTGGGAACATGCTTCAGAAGACAATCCTAGACTGGAAAAAATTCTACATAAGGCTGATAGAAATCACTGCTATAACAAGGCAATAGGGAGACACAGATTAGAGCCTACAGAGGTCCTGAGGGCCACACATAAGACAAGTGCTACAGGGCAGCAAGTAGTCCCAGGGCCACAGGTTGCGCATCAGGACTTCACAAGGATGGCCACCTCCAAAAACAGACAAGAGAAGGCATTGTAATGTAAGGATTGTAATGCAGAATGATCATCTTCAGGGGTACACAGGTCATTCTGAGAATTAGTCCTTTGCCCTCTTTCCTTTTTTGGTGCACAGCTTCCAGAGTTCAAGTGCAGCCTCTCTACCTGCATCATCTCCCATGTGCTCCAGTTTCACCTGAATGCTGACCTGTTGTAAAGGTCAAACTCCAACACTTCTTGGTATTGCCATATAAAATAATTACATCTCAGTTGTACTTCACATGTGTAATCACTAAATGAGTTAGTTCCTTTCGGTTTAACTCAGCTAAAGACATTCTAGGTGACTCAAAAACATAAAATGAGCAAAGTTACAATTCAACTTCTTTAAAAAAAATGCCACATCCTGAGTACAAAAGCCTGTTCTCTGCCAGCTGTAAAGAAGGACCCTTGCTGTCTTTGTGGAAGTGGTCTGACCGCCCCTGCTAAGTCAGAGCTAGAGTTTTCCAAGCAGCAAGGAGCATGAGCTTTGCTTAATAGGGAATGCTATCTCTGACTAATCAAGGGGTGCGTCCAGGCCCGGACTGGGACAAAAAAATAGACCCAAGCACTTTAG